TTTTGTGGTGTAAAAGGTAAAGGGTTAAAGCATCAAAAAGACAAGACTGAAATAAAAATGGTGTATTGGGGAGAAAACTTTCATGTTTTGGCTACATGACCATGCAAAAAATGTCTGAAAATATTGATTGGTTTATCTGTGCTCTTGATATACTTTTGGGTACATTTTTTTGAGACACCCTGTATATTCGTCCAATTATTATATTATTTGGACTAACAGAAGAATTGTTAACCTCTCTTTTCGGTCAACTGGCAAAAGTGTCCTCGACCTCTGGTCTTGATCAACAGTACATTCAAGGTTTACAGTATCGGTATACAATTTTGCCAGTTGACCTTAAGAGAGGTCTACAATTGTATATTGTATATCCTTTGTTATCCCACCCAAAGTATGATGTCATATATCAAGTTGAAGAGTTGTATACGCTGCTCAGGAGTTAACGCTATCCAGGAGTTGTACATCGTTCTCAAGATTTGTATAGGATGAGTGTTGGTTTAATGATTTTGCAGTTATACAATGCTATTATATAAAGGTTATTTACTGAGAGGGATTCAATATTGGTTTTATTCCGAGAGACAATATGATATTTCCTGAGGGCCCGGGATATCTGGGATAACTGTACCCCTATCAATTTACCTTTTTGGGCTCTTAATCTTATCACTTTTGTTTACCTTTTTACCCAGTCGGAGAGAAGGTATCCAAAGAGAGCAATACTAGTAATTCTACATGTGCGTCGTGCAAGATTTCCATTAAACGTGTAACTAAACGGCCTCTCTAATAAAGTCAATTAGACGTTTTTACACGTTGGCTCTCCAAATTGGAGGAAATAAAGAATCATATCATATTATATCATAGATGAAGCAATCATCCCATCAACATAAGCTCACGAATGTCACTGTTTTAGTTATAATTTGATAAACAGTGGTAACGTACATCTACTAGTTTATCACTGTTCCACAGATGGATGACGGATAATTTCCAATAGCTCATCATGTTTACCAAGAACAAAAGATGTTTGTCAACCATTTTGAATGATACTAACTGGAGTCAGGGTCATCAAGCTATGGAACAGTGGTTTATGAAAATAGATTGGGTTACTAAAGCTTGCCATGTTAAAGGCGATTGAACTATGTTATAGAACAACGTCCAGTACATTATAATATTTAAAAGTATAAATTTTTGAAAATACATAAAGGATCTTCGCCCGCAGGACGTGTATTTTGAATGCCTTGAGAAGAACGCATGGGTAATGGGTAACGGTGTTGCAACAGTAGCATTTAAAAATCTGTTCCTCTCGAGATTTATGGTCTTCTGAAATTATACTATCAATTGGTGTTGCTGCATCATTGCTCAAATCTAGAGGAGTGTTGTTGCATCTTCGGTTTGGTGTTGTTGCATCAATAGTGAGGAACTAAAACCGTGAACTTATTGCTTCTTGGTGATGGTACATGTATACTAATGACAGTTTCTTTAAATATAGATCGTGCGCTAACTGCACGTGTATGGTTATTGAGCAACTCGTCCTAGAAATGGGTTTAATTGGGGAAACAAAATATCGTACGAAAATCTATCACCGGAAGTCTGGCCATCTTGATGCAACAACACGGTGTTGTTGCATCACGATACCCCCCAGTGAATAGTCCTTTAATACTTTTTTTGGCACAAACATTTTTGCTTCATACATACATGAGTTGAACATAGGTTTTATCAAAAAAATGCTCAGTCTTATATGACAATTCTTGTTATACACTCATCAATTATTATGAAAAGAATGTTTACTATAATAAACGTGTACTATTTAGAGCATATATTGCGTATACATACTGTCAAAAGTTAAAGGCCCGGTCACACCGCCCGGACGTTACTGGAGCGTTCCTTGAACGTTGAAAAAATTCATCAACGCTCGTCAACGCGCACAAAATGGGGAAAAAAACAAAAACAGGGGCGTTGGCTTAGCGGTGCACCGCTGAAGCCGGCGTTGCTTTAGCGTTGGTTAAGCGGTTGCGAGCGGTAGCTAGCGTTTGTTTAGCGGTAATGCGAGCGCTGGTATAGCGGCGTTCTGCGCATGAGAGCGTTGCCTCGTCGGGGGTATAAATAGCAGCAGCGTTGGTTTAGCAGCATATCGCGTTTGACTACTGGGAAATCATTTCAAGTGGGAAGTGTTTAAGAGTAAAGACCTTTATTGGAATTTGTAACTTTAACAAAAGTCCTTCAAGGATTAAAGAAGAAATGTTTTAAATCTAAAGTGCTTCCATTAATGTAATATGACATTAATTAAGAATTACAATTTTCTTTAATAATCTCTCATATCATTTCAAACAAACATATCACAATTTAATCGTTGCATTTCCATTACTTGGAACCGATTTACGGTCAAATTGCTTTAACAATGTCAAATAACATTTACAGCAAAGTAATAATCATGACGCATGACAAATTTTTGCATTGCTGTGCGCGCATCAACTTTTTGTATAATACCATGACGAGTGCAACATTTTACAAGCTGCGCAGAAAATTTACAGATAATTTATTGAATTGCTTGACGTGAAAACTCTAGGTATATACGATACTATATTTGAATAAAGGTCTCAGTAAAAGTCTGCATTAACATTTAATGAAAAACAAAAATCGCATAATTCACCTTTTTAAAATCCAAAATCACAAACTTTGAGCGCTTAATTTAGGAATTTACAAAGCAAAAAATTGAAATGCCAGACATGAATATATATCAAATGTAAAATGCACAAGTGTCTCCACAGTGTTATACACAGTGGTGCATTTCTCCACGTATTTATAGCCAAATTCTGGTCCCGCTCCGACACCTCTATACCAACGCCAAAGCAAAGTTCATCGCCGCCATGGAACGCCCGACACCGTTCCAACAACCCCATGTACGCTGATAAAACGCTAACAACCGCTCCACCGACGTTTGTGCAACGTTTAATCGCCGCCCGGGCAACGCTGGCGAAGCAGCGGTGGTCCAGCGTTTAGGATTTCTGCGTTGGTCTAGCGGATTCAAGCGTCCACGAACTTGCGTCTAGCGGTGCCAAACTTTGACTGGGCGTTGGTGGAGCGGTGATAAACTTTGCCAGGGCGTAAAATTGTCCCTTTTTCAACGCTCGCAATATTTTGAGCAGCTCAAAACTTTTGGAGCGTTAGGATGGCCACTCGAGAAACATCCGCGTAGGCCGAGCGTTTACAGCGTTGCTTTAACGGATGCAAACTTTTGTTAAACGGTGGTGAACGTTTACGAGCGTTGATGATTTTTTTCAACGTTCAAGGAACGCTCCAGCAACGTTTAGGCGGTGTGACCGAGCCTTTAGTCTGTTACAAAAACTATACTGTAAATCATTTTACCTGACAGAATACATACTGGGAACAACATACTGGATTACATACTGGAATCTATACTGGAGAACAACATGATGAAAGGAATACAGTTAGCACAATCCCAACTGGTGATAAACAATGTTTCTTTATAACTACCATATTTGTACAATATTAAACTTTTATGAATAGTTACTGTATAACACTCAAAAGTCTCCAATCTTGGCAATAAGCCGTATATTGTCTCTATTAACCTTCTATGTTTGCTATGTACTCTACTACTTCTCCTTATCACTGGAGATTCAAACTGTTCAGTTTGATTTATTGGAACACTATACAGGGCGTCCGCAAAAAAGTATACCCAACTTCAAAACCAAATTACTAGAATCCTGAGAACTTTTTTTAATTCAAAGGTAGAAGTAAAAGCCTGATTTATTCTCCATCAAATGGTACCAAGATCATTATGTAACTGTCATGTATGACTGAGCAATCTTGACCATTATGAGAGGTGGCAAAATTAGCACTGGGCCAAGTTACCTTCCTGTGTGGCAATTGATGTGTAATTACTCAGATGCGAGTAGGTAGTTACCAGTTTCGCCACCAGGTGGCTGAGTCGGGGGAAATAACATGGCAGAGTATTACAAAATTCCCTTAAACTTGAATATTCATCAGTTTTAGTGGTTCACTTTTCATATTACCCTTTTGTATCTGATAGTTATACAAATTAAAATATACCCAGTAAAAGAAAACATTATCTGCCCAACACAAGAAAAGATATTTCACTTTTTGTGATTTTACAACATGGGCTCTATGGGGAATCCCCCCGACCTGGAAGTCACATTTTCAAAGAAAATTAAATTTTCAAAGTTGATAAGCTCTTTTCAAAACCACATTTCTAGATGTAATTCTACATGTAGATTCCAAAAATGACATCAGTTTGACTGAATTTTGGATTTTTGATGACGTAAATCAAGATTATTTCTACTCGCATCTAGTCTATCGGCTTAGTATTCTTTTTCTGTTACATTAAGTTAGAGCACAGGCCTTCCATACTGAACTGGACTTGGGACTGAGTAACTCTCTTATTAAAAAAAAGGTTTGGCAAAAAGTTTTAAATTCTAAAATAGGCCTGCAAAAATGGTTCCATTGACAACTGAGCAGTAGAGCCAACAAAAAGTTCTAAAAAGCAAGTCCCATGTACTGTTTACATGGATTTTCCACATGAATCTACTTGTTTAGACTCAATAAACTCGAGTTCTTCTGAGGATTTCAGCAAGGGTTATTGACTTTACATGGGGATACAATTGACTTCAAAGCTGCATAACAGCAAGTAGAAGTTTCATTGCAGATCAAGAGGCTCTTCGGATCCAATTTCCCAAGAAGGAGGTACCAACTAAAAGTTATGGAAAATTATGTAAAAGTGTGAGGAACATGACTCAAGTTTGAAGTTGAACATTAATAATGTTTTGAACACAAAAACACATTCACTGTGTCATTCCTACTTGAATGCCAACTTGGCACAGTGCTGATTTTACCACCTTTCATAAAAGTCATGATTGCTCAGTCATCCATGACACTTACATAATGATCAAGGTACCATTGGATGGAAGACAAACTAGGCCTTTTACTGCTACCTTAACTTCGTCTTTTAAAAAAATTGCTCAAAATTCTTGTATCCTGGCTTTGAAGTTGGGTATACTTTTTTGTGACGCCCTGTAGTACGTTTTGGACTCAAATCAATATGGGTTTTCAATTGTTCACTCTGATCTTTTTGAATTGAACTATCTGAACTGTGTTTTTCCTTGACTGGGGTTTGCCCATCATATTTAGACTCTACAGGCTTAGAACATGGTAGATCAGAAGGTACAATTGGATTCTCTTGAAACCTGTCGAAATCAGTAATCTTTTCATCTGGTTCACTCTTATGAGCCAAAATGTTGTTATCCAGTTGTTCAAATGAAGTCTCTGATGATCTCAATCTAAGTTGCTCAATATGTCGATGATACAAACCAGAAGCTACAGCACTTTTATATGTCAGAGGACCTATCACTTGTACAACTACACCTGCTATCCATTTGTCTTTGTTTTTTCAAGAAATGTCTTACCCACACTTTATCATTGACACACAAGGACCTAGATTTTGAATGTTTCTTTCCCTATGCTCAACTTGTTTATGCAACTTCCTTTTCATGAGTTGATTGAAATTGGGTCGGATATTATCCAAATGCATTATTAGTGGTCGTCTCATGAAAAGCATAGCTTGAGTTTCTCTGGTTACAGTGTGAGGAGCCTTGCGAAATGAGAGCAAGAATCGTTCAAATTTAATGCGAGTAGAACCCGAATCATGACACGCTGCTCTTAAGGCTTGTTTTAATGACTGCACGAATCGTTCTGCTTGGCCATTTGTGGATGGTTGATAAGGGGCACTAAACTTGTGAATGATTCCGTTGCTTTGTAAAAACTCTTCAAATTTTGCGGAAGTAAATTGAGAACCGCTATTTGAAACACAGATCTGTGGATGTCCAGTGCGACTAAACAAACTCCGCAATGTGTTTATGGTACGTTCAGCTGTTATCGATGGCATATCAAAAACTTCCAGCCATTTACCATCGACTACTACTAGGTACGTATGGTTTTCGAACGGACCAGCAAAATCAATATGTATACGTTCCCAAGGATGTGACGCAGGAATCCATGGATTCAATGTTGATAATGATGGTTTATTTTGGATCACTTGGCATGGTTCACATGATTTGGCTACAATCTCAATTTGACTATCAATGTCTGGCCACCAAACATATAACCTAGCAACTGTTTTCATCTTAACAATTCCAATGTGACCCGTATTTCCTCGAGAATTGCTTTCCGACATTTAGAAGGTATGATTACACGCGATCCCCATAATAGACATCCCTGTTCAACTGTGAGTTCATGTCTTCTATAAAAGTATGGTTTCAGAACACTGTCAGATTCCGGTAATTTCCTAGGCCAACCATTTAAGGTATATTTCTGAGCCTTGGAAAGAACAGGGTCCCTGTGTGTTGCCTGTTTAATTTGCTGTTGCCTATTTAATTTTCTTCCATTTACAAATGAATAGAATCTCTTGAGGCCAAATATTATTGCTAGCTCTTCTTTTTGAATTTGTGGGTAATTCCTCTCCGCTACACTCAAGCTGCCCGATGCAAACTGAAAGGGTCTCTCTTCTCCATTAGGCATATTATGTGACACAACGGTACCTTGTTCGATTGGTCTGGCATCCGTTGACGATGTGAGTGGTAAACTTGGATCAAAATGAACCAAAAATCCGGATGCGACAAGTTTTTCTTTCGACAATTTGAAATCCTGATTAGCTTCATTGGTCTACACAAAATCTCGTTTCTCAAGTGATTTATTAAATGGTGCAACCAATGTAGCTAAAGCTGGTATAAAGCGCCGATAATAGTTTACCAAAATATGAGCATAATGTTGTTACATCATGCGGCGTTGAAATTTGGAAAATCTCGTCAACTTTTTTCTCAGATTTGTGCACTCACTCCAGTTTTATGGATTACATGTCCGAGATACTCCAAAGATCGTTTCATGAATTCGAACTTCAACAATTTTGCATGGAGATTATACACTTCAAGTCGTGATAAGACACGGTCTAGATTTGACAAATGCTCGTCCTCATTCTTACCTGTAATCAAAATGTCATCCATATAGACTTGTACTTGACTTGTAGAAATGAGGCACCACCAGCCAAATTAGCCAAAATGTCATCAACATTAATACTAGGTGGAGCCACTGGCTTAAGTACTGGATTTAAAGTGACCTTGCAATTACCACATATTCTTATGCTACCATCAGACTTAGGCACAGTGACAATATACTATGACTTACTGGTGTCAGTACTCCGCATTTTTCGGAGTCTATCTAATTCAGCTTCTACTTAAGGTTTGAGAGCGTATGGGACTCGGTATGGCTTATATAGATGTGATTGATGTGGCCTCGTCAGTTAATATGACATCTGCCTTTATATGCTTCATTTTGCCCAATTCACCACTAAACACCCTTTTGTGTTTTTCTAAGATTTTGTCCAGTTTTCTTACATTCTGTACTGATTCTTGTACAACAGATATATCATTGGATGAAACCTTTTTATCACCTGAAAATATGTTTTTCCAATTGAACTGAATTTGAGCAAGTCAGTCTCTACCTAATAACAAATGTTTTGTATGCTTTACAATATACAATGGTAATATCTTGACTTGCTTGTCATAACTAACCTTGACTTTTATCTTGCCAACAGGCTTTACTGATTCACCTGTGAAACTGGAAAACTCTCTATGTGTACCCTGTAATTTCACATTTTGGAATTTATTGACATATACATCTTATAATAAAATGGATACGGTTGAGCCTGTATCTAATTCCATGTTCAATGCCTCACCATTGATGCTGGGCCTTATTACAATTGGATTGCCCCCACTAATGTCATCGTTGTTGTGACATTGCACTTTACACACACTATATTGATCAGAATCACTTGTTGAATTATCATCTTGAAGATCTTGGTTGACGTTGTTCACTTGTCATTTTCTCTGTTTACGTGAATATCTGTGTTGAGATTCCCTGTCTTTCGATTGTTTATGGTCATTTCCAGGTTTTTGCGATTTTGGTTTACGACATTGGCTAGCGATATGTCCCACGATTCCACAATTATAGCACTTTGTTTTTGAAAACCAACAGTCCACCTCTTTGTGGCTTTTGCGACCACATTTGCCACATTTATATCCCGGCTTGGACATCTTATTGTCTTTAGACTTAACGACATGAACACCTGGAGACGATGACCCATTGGACGTTGCAGTAACATCTTGTTGTATCTGCTTGGCTTCGTTATATGTCGTCTCGCGAACTAATGCACTTGACACAACCTCCGCAAATGTCATGTGAGGATTTTCTCGAGTCTTTTCCATCAGTTTCAAGGCGGCTGTATTTTCATTGTTAATGCCCAATATGAAACGATCCCGTAATTGCTCATCGAGTTTATTCGTAAACTCGCACTTTCAGAAAAGATGCTTTAGTGTTACAACATAGTCTTGAATCGACTCATCTGCTAATTGATCACGTTTGATAAACTTACGTTTTTCAGCTACCACTATTGGTTCCCCTTTCAAATGTTTCCTCAACATGGTTTTTAGATGTTGGTAAGACTTTGTACTCGGCAATTCTGGAGCAACTAAATCTCACTGAGTAATATGTCTTGCCCAACGAGTGTAAGAAGATTGCAACTACCTGTTTTTCAAGTGCTGGGTCAGAAACTACTGGTGCTGGATCAAGTCCATTTGCAATCAAAAATAATTCGAATCGCTCAACATAACAGTCCCAATCTTCACTGGCATCGTAGCACGTGAAAATGGTGGTAAACAAACTCGGAAATTTTGCACATTCTCAGCCCTTTCAGTTCCTTCCTCCTGTATTGGATCGGCCATATTTAACGTTCAAATGTTGCACAAATGTATCCAGTGTTTTTATCTCGTCGCCCAAATTTGTAGGACATGTCAATTATAGATACAAATGTCTATTAATATCCCAAGGTAATAAATGAACTCAACTTTCATATTCTGTATCCAATCTATATTTCAAAACGAGACTGATACTAGTGACACCTATTACACTACACCTAGTGACAACAATTATTGGTTGTGCTAACACAATGGAACAATCACTTAAATCAATCAAATATACAACATCTTCACATTTCTTTTAAAAGTTATCCAGTTCTAGAAATGAACTGTAAAGCGATCATTTTTGAATGTTTCGGTATTTCTCCAAGAAAAAACAACCGATTCGATCAATTACACCTATTACATGGTATCAAGTTACTTTGGGCGTCCATATGTAACGTTGTCATTTTATTTGATACATTAATGTGTTATTTCATTCGACAGCATGCATTTAACAGAGTTGGGTCTAAAATAGACCGTTGGCCAATGATGTATTACATGCATTGTGTTTATTTCAGTGTAAACAAATTGTTTTAGCGTTTTAGACAGATCTTTATGTTAAATAATGAGAGTACAATAGAGTCACTGATCTAATTTTTCAAGGAGTTTCTTCTACTGCTGTCCATCACAAAAAAAAAACTTCTGCATAATGTTCCTACATATATGCTCTACACTGGGTTATGTTACATTTCTTCCGGTAACAGGGGCTTTCACTTAGAAAATGGGGATGTATTGACTTAACATGGGGCTATATACCAAAGACTTTACATGGGGATATTGTCATATTCCTAAGCCATCATAGATATTTATTTGGCTTACATTTTTGTCACCCTGTACCTATTATGCATGTCAAATTACCTTTTTTCAAGCATTAGACAGTGTTAAAATGTATATGACAAAACATTGCACATTGCCGATTCGATCAATTACACCTATTACATGGTATCAAGTTACTTTGGGCGTCCATATGTAAGGTTGTCATTTTATTTGATACATTAATGTGTCATTTCATTCGACAGCATGCATTTAACAGAGTTGGGTCTAAAATAGACCCTTGGCCAATGATGTATTACATGCATTGTGTTTATTTCAGTGTAAACAAATTGTTTTAGTGTTTTAGACAGATCTTTATGTTACATAATGAGAGTACAATAGAGTCTTTTTTCAAGGAGTTTCTTCTACTGGTGTCCATCACAAAAAAAAACTTCTGCATAATGTTCCTACATATATGCTCTACACTGGGTTATGTTACATTTCTTCCGGTAACAGGGGCTTTCACTTAGAAAATGGAGATGTATTGACTTAACATGGGGCTATATACCAAAGACTTTACATGGGGATATTGTCATATTCCTAAGCCATCATAGATATTTATTTGGCTTACATTTTTGTCACCCTGTTGCTATTATGCATGTCAAATTACCTTATTTCAAGCATTAGACAGTGTTAAAATGTATATGACAAAACATTGCACCTTGTAGATCTCTTACTATCGTAGACGTTTGCATC